GGCTCTTCTCAATGAAAATGCCAAAATTGGATGTCAATGCTCTCAAAGGGTCTACTTTGGTCGACCCACAGCGCGCATATTTATTAATGAACAAGTTTTTCTTCCTTTAACTCAACTCATCAAATTCATTTTTTTTTCATGCAAAGCTTATGCTTCCATGACTTGAGAAATTTTCACTTCCAAATGGCTTTAAAAGGGAGGTCTGTTTTGATAAAAATCCACGAGAGACTAGAATTGGGGTACTGACCGTTTGCTACAGTTTGCTAACCGTATGCTTATTTAAGGTCCTGACATCCGACTGATTTTTTTGCTTTTAAAAAAGGGTGTACTAATGGCTTACCTCTACGTGGTGCATCCTGGGCAACGTATACTCATACGACAAAAAAGTCTATTAACTGGCAGTTGACTTCTGACTTCTAACTACCATCACCCCACTCTATACCATATTCGACTATTTCACAGTACTCACCTCACCTTTGTTCTACCTTTGTGTCTGTATCTTTTACATCTTTGAAACACTCTTCTCTCCCCCCTCTCGACTTTTTTCAAGTTGATGTTCCTTCCCCTCTGTATATCATATTAGACCACTTCCACAGTACGTACTTCACCCTTTTTCTCCCTTCGTCTTTGAAGCACTCTTCTGTTCCCAACCCCTCCCCCCCCCTCTCGACTTTTTTTCACGTTGGTGTTCCTCCTCCTCCCTGTGAAACCTGAGGTCAACTAAAAAGCTAATGGTAACTAACAAAACGCCTGCCGTTTGATATAAATAAATACTTTGAAAACAAGTGAATCGCGAAACGAAGTGGTCTATTTTCTCGGCTTTTACTTACATCAGTGTAGCAGTCTTATTCATTTCGTTTTTTTCCAGCAGAAAAGGCAATTTTTTATCTACACTTCCACAATCCAGTCTACTGAATAACCTCATATTTTATTCAATTTGTTTATTCAGGCTAAAGGGAAATGTTTCAATGTTCCATGAAATCAGCACACCCATCTTCGAACCAAACCAGTTTAGACAGCGAGTTTTCAAAATTGAAGTCGATAAAGGCGTTTTTTTCCGTACAAATAATTCATTTAGCCTTTGGTCAATTTGGTTCAAGTCTTCAATTTCTGGATCTTAGAAATATTCTCGATACTTTTGCTGCCACGTGATCATGATATTGCTCGTTGGAATCAGCCGAGAAAACTCCTCATCGCAAAAAACTGGGTCAATAAGTAATCCCGAGATTAATTGGCACATGTTTTTCTAAAAAATTATTTGTCACGTGTCACTTTCCCTAACTAGCGTTGTTTGAGTGAATTAGAGTGAAAATTAAACGAATTTTCTACGGTACAAACCAGTTTCGGATTTATATTTAGCCTAACCCAAATTCAGAACATTGCAGTAAGGCCTGGCAATGGTGAATTTTCAATGGCACGCAGCAAGCAGTATAGACAAATCCTAAATAACGACGTTACCTTGACCTAGATTGAGACATGGAGTACTTTAGAAATGAAAAGAAAGCAATTACCAGTCTGCGCATTGGTTCCCTCTTTTGGTTGACTATGCGTAATGCGCACGCACCATTGAGGTATTGACCAATCAGCTCACTTGTTTACAAGTTCTGATTCGACGTTTGATTCGTCAAGAGTCTATCCTCTGATTGGCTCGTACTCCAGTCTCTGTTTGTTCCATTTAGAGCAGCACTGGAGACAATGGTTCCCTCGTAAGTCATACACTTTCTTTGAGACACACGTTGCACCCAAATGCCGGAACCGAGAACCCGAAATGCATCCAGACGCCTCTCATCAATGAATGCAGAGACTGAAATGATGCTTCAAATGCTACGAAGGGAATTACTCTTAGCCTTAGAGAGCAAGGACCCAACAGTCTTTAAAATGAAACTCAATTGGATTCTGGAAGATACCAGAGAATACGCGGATTTAGTTCTTAGAAGTGGTTTCGATTCAGAAGGCAAAACAGCTTTGCATATTGCAGTGGAAATTCAATTCACCGAAGCAGTAAGTTGGGCCTTTAGCTTTAATTTCTTACTTCCTTAATTATAAATCACGTTTTCTAAGTTGCCTTTTTTTTGTTTTGGCTGATAAAAAGTACTTGGGGGTGGGGGTGGGGGGGGGGGGGGTTGGAATCGCGCGTTTTTCTGCTTGATATGTGATTGAGGAAAAGGCTTCACTTGACAGATTGATGGGCTAATAGCGTTAGTACCTATGGTAGCCCACGACTTGGTGTTTGATTGTCAGTTCACTTGGAAAACATGTCTGTCACTGACTTGAAGTTACGCTGTGTACCAGAAATTGCACTCGAATCCAAGTCCTGAATTGAGTATAATTTTTTATTATTGATGTCTGACCGATTTTCGAGTTTAGAAGCTGTCTGCTTCGGTATAAAATTTACAGAAGAATTAAAGTGTTAAAGCCAAAGCTACCAGCTGTCAAGTAGTGTTAGTTACTAGAGGTGATTCAAAAATCCTTGCAACCGTTGAGGATCAGGACCGTTCATTGAGACAGATTTCGGGAAATAAACTTTGAGCAATTTGCTAAAGTTGATTTAATAGAAGACTAAAAGAATGCAATTTTTTCCCAATAAGTTCCAAGTTATCTTCCCTATATCAGAGAGAGAGAGAGAGATACACCAAAAATTGTGCTCCAGAATGTTACAAGGTAAAATTAATTGTTAACTAAGAAATGTGGGAGTAACTTGCCAATGTTGGATGCTTTAACTTTCAAGAATTCAGTTTTCCGTCGTCGTTAATGCATGCGATAAACTGCCTCCTTCGGGCATTTGAGCCAAGATGTTCAGAAGAAATGTAATTCGTCTCATCTCAACATTGGGCGTAATGGGCAATATGTCCGTTGCTAGTGCAAAATTATCCGATGAAAGCTTTCAGTGAAGCATTTCGATTAAATTCTTTGAGCTGTCATTGGAATTTAAATGGAATTTAAAGCGTCTATGACATTCAGCTCCATTAAGCTCCATTCAGCTCATACACCACTCTCAACCCCCCC